CTGACTATAGCACTCAACACCTTCCGAGTTAAACTTCCGGCCGGTATCATTCAACTTTGAAGTGGTACACACTTTGCTATTAAAAAATACATAGATAATATAGTTAGGTATTTATGAATTTATAAAAAAAAAATAGGTAGGTGCATGTTGTCGTGCAATAAAGCGTCTGACGCATTATTGTTGAGATGATCTCAGCACAAATTTAAATTTGCAAACCTCAATGTTATTTGATAGAGACGTAATGTTGGCCGCTGTGGCTGAGTGGTTAGAAGTGCGTAATACCACTTCGTAGGACACGAGTTCGATCGCTGGTCCGAGCAATATACAAATTAGAATTAAAAGTTTTTCTAAGAGTAGACGCTACTAGGCCGGCAATTACAAACCGCCGAGTGTATTTCGGCCATGCAAAAGCTTCTCATAGAAATCCATTTGGCGTTTGGAGGCGACATAAAATGTTGGATGCCTCCAGCTGTGTAGCAACTTCAAGACGCACGCCTCAATTGAAGAAGAAGCTTGGCCAAACACTTAGCAAGCATGTGTAAGCGCCAAAATAATTTTTTTTTTGCTAACATTTTACAAATTTATTTTATTCTTCTTTATTTATCTCTTGTATTTTTATTCTTTTTGCATTTATCCATTAATCACTTCACAGCTCATTTAAAAACTGTCAGTTTTGCAACTGCTCACCCACGCTACTACCGTTAACTACTTAGCTAGCGCATCCTAGTGAATATGATCAACAACAAACAACGCAACTCGTTAAATCAACAAACACCCAAAGCACACACACACACACCTCACTTGTCTTATTTAAATATTGTATCACAAAAGCTTGTTAACACCAACAAATAACGAAATTATTCGCTATAAGCACTTAGAAACGTTGCGTGTAAATCCATTTAAAGTTATTGTTAACTTGACATTGAAAATATTATTTCAATAGCAATCATATGCTAATTGAGCCACAAGACCGACTTTACAAAAAAAAAAAAAAACAGAAAAACGATTGAGAGCTTGAGACTTTGTATACAAACATACATATATATATTTATGCCTATAACTACATGTAAATGCTGTATGTTTGGATATGTATATACAGTATCGGTCATATCTATAGCACGCCATTTCAAAGTGATATTGTGTGCCACTTATGTTTATTTATTTATTTTTAAGAATTTTCAATTAAAATACAGTTCTTTCTCTAACAAAACCCATATAAACCCAAGTTTAAAAATTTGTAGAAAACTACAAAAAAGTGCAACAAATTTTCACCTAAATTTCAAACTTTTTTCTCGGAAGTGTTTGAATTTTTCTGAATACACAGTTTTATAGCCCAATCCATTTTAGTCTGCTAATGTGCAAGTTTTAAGTGGCTAAAAGTTACCGTTGATTTTTTAGAATTTTTTTCGCCAAAGGTGTTGCGGCTTTCTTCCATATACAAATAAATTGAGTTTATTCATTATATGGAAGCCAATGCGACAAAAAAAATTCTAAAAAATTAACGGTAATTCGTAGCCACTTGAAATTTGCACATTATCAGACTAAAATTTCAGGGGCTAAAAAACTGTGTACTCAAAAAAATTCTAAGACTTCCGGGAAAAAAGTTTCAAATTTAGGTGAAAATTTGTTACACTTTTTTGTAGTTTTCTACAAATTGTTGAACTTGGGTATATATGGGGTTTGTCTGAGAATGAACTAAATTTTAATTGAAAATTCTTAAAAATAAATAAATAAACATAAGGGGCACACAATATCACTTGGAAATGGCGTGCTATAGATATGACCGATACTGTACATACATACATAGGTATATATGTACATATATGTATGTGCATACATATGTAGTTTTCGACTTGTAAGCCGGCGAGCCTCTGAGGCGGGGCGCAAAGCACAAATTTCATTAGCCATTTAGCACTTTGAAATTTGAGGTAATGCTAGTTTTTTATTTAAAAGCGCAAACATTTGAAATGTCTCTCTGTTGTGCTTGGAAAACAATTACAGCTTATTTTTTGGTTGCGAATTGATAGAAGAGTTCTTCTACTACACGGCAAATATTTGCTTAATTGCTATTTCTGTAATTAATTGTACAACTGTTATTATGTTGTAAACTTTATTTTTTATCCTTTTTTATTATTAAAGAATAAATTAGTTTTCGTACAAAAAAATTTTATTTTTATTTTTTATTTTGGTTTTTCTTTTTGTCTAAGTTGGTCTCAATAACCCCGTTTTTCATCAGTTTGCGCAATTTATTTCACTCTTTTTTTAAACAAATTGTGTGCGAATTTTTTTAAATAAAGGAGTCACCACTTGATTTTTATTTTTTTGTTGATATTCTAATTCTGCCAGCAATATTTATGTACCATTCATTAGCCGGCGCACGAAAGCCCACTCGCGTACT